GTAACAGCTCTTAGGTCCTTGCTTAGGACTTGAACTGTTAATTTTTTACATTATAATTTTTTCAAGTTATAATCAAATTGAAGATTAACCTAATCATTAGCATCAAGCAATCTTGGGCTCAGTGTTCTTTCTTTCTACCTCATTCTCCAATGACAAGAATATTTCAATTTCACTCAGAATATTTTGGGATATCTAAATTTCAGTTTGTACAATCTGAATTCAATCTAAAATCCTGTTTCATTCTCACTAATCAAAATAAAAACAAAGCTCAGCCCTTTCTTTATGGAAACTGGAGCCTTATCCAATTATTTATTATGATTATTATTATTTAATCCATTTTTGAAATAGATGGGCAGTTTAGAAATATGGAATATTAATAAATAATTTCAATCCATTAATGCAGAGAATACATGTGACAACTATTGTTGTTGGGTTTTTTTGCAAAAGGCTTAACATCATTTCAAAAACAAGGAAGGACCCAGTTTGTGGGGGCAATAAGCTGACTTTGAATAAAATATACAAAAGTATGAAGGCTATTGCTTAACGCACTGTAAGCCGTCCTGAGTCTCCGGAGAAGGGCGGCATATAAATCAAATAAACAAAAACAAAACAAAACAAAAACAAAACAAAAACCAAACAAGTCCTCAGTTCTAACTCCCCTAACAAACAAAAAATAAAAGAAATTCAGTTTGCATCATTGCCTCATCCAATGCATCTCTTAGATCCCAAAATATATTATGTATGCCCCTGCCATTAAAAGGTTACTCAATCTGGCATCACTGAACAACAATACCTAAATTTAGATATTACCGGAAAAGTGCTTTATTTAAATTACGAAGTTTTTAGTTTTCCTTACAAAATAGAAGAACAGAAGAAAAGCATACAGCCTTAGTTTATGTTTGAACTGGGGTATTTTCAATAGAATTTAAATAACTGTTCTTGAATTGATTAAGAAAATATAATTTTAAAAGTTGCTCTGACTTTTTATACCTCTTAAATAAGTTTCAGCACAACTATCACATAAAAATTATTATCACTTGGTTCCAGAAAGGCAGCTCTTTGTTTAAAATCATAACTTTGGAATCAAATGATTCCGAAGCTCAGCAACACGTTACTACTCTTTTTTTAAATGTGCTTGTTTCTTCTGTCTCTGATGCAGTTGTGCAGCATAATGTCGCATGATGGCATTGCTTAGCAATGGCAGTCCTGGAAGTCCTGGAGTTGCTGTTGTAACTCCAGAATTGCATGGGCGTTAAGCAAAGACTTCATGTGACTGCAACATGGAAAGAGGAGTGGACCAGCAGGTGGGTGCTACATAGCATAGGCAGAGTTGCGGGCAGGTGCTGCAGAGCATAGACAGGTGGGCAAAAATGTAGTGGGAGCAGGAGTGACTTGTGACCTCTTTCCCATTGAATTTACTTTTTGAAAGCTGGCAAGGAAGTTTGCAAATGTGATCACATGGCTGTGGGAATGCTGCAATTACTACAACTTCAAGAATTTGTCATAAGTTCTGTTCATTCAGTACTATTGTAATTTTGAATGGTTGCTGAGTGATTATAACCCAAGGACTATCTGCAGAAATGATCTCACCATAAGTACATATTTTTCAAAGAAAATTGATACCTATAATGAAACATGAGGAAAGACAGATTGCAAAGTATCTTTTTAAACAACAGATCCATTTGCAGGATTTAGACTATTTGGAATGTTGTTATGATTTCATATTAAGATATTTAATCACATTTTAAAAACTAACTACATAAAGATATATAAATTAAAAAGTAGTGCAATTTTATAAATTTACATAGGTTTCATGGCAAATTATCATTCTCTCTATATAGGTTAGCAGCTACTCTATTTTTATCCAAATGTAGCAGATGTTATTTCTAAAGGTTACATCCACTACAGAACTATATAACAAACTGAACCTATGAATAAAATTGCTGGAAGACAAACATTTGTATTTGTAGATAGCAATGGGAATACTCAGATATGACACTATACAAAGTCCACAGAAAGCAGTACATCCAAGATTCTATTATTAAGAAAAACTTCTCTTACACCAGAAAATATTATTCCTTTGTTATTTAAATTTTATTAATCTGCATTAGAAATGGCAAGTTCATTCAGTCAAGATATGGCTATATTTGTGAAGTTAGACAACATATATACTGTACTTCTTGCAATTTTAATACATGATGTTTATAGTAATTCCTATTCCTGCATATGTAAATTCACTTTTTTATCAGTATTTTTTTTCTCAATGACTCATCAGTAATTATGTTTTGAAATAAATGATGAAACATCTCTTGAGATTTTTGTTATTTCAAACTTACAAACTGACTACAAATTTCATTCCATTAATTTTAAAAACTCATTTAAAATATTGAAATATGATTTTAATAAAAGAGGTTATTAATAAATATTGCATTCAATTCAGTCAAGGAGCATGTGAGCATGAAGAAATATGCCACCTAATGATTCAAAAGCATACTGCACTTTGTTTTTGTGTAAAACAAAAGTACCCAAGAGGATTACTTGACTCCACACTGAATGAACAGATAGCAATTATCTCCTTATGCGAGTAGAAATCAATGACACTGGAGAGGGTTGTTTTTCTGGTCTCCTCATAGTTCTTGCTCATTGAATTCAAAGTACTGAAATCAGACACGTGGAACTTTTAATCCTATTCTTCACAAAATAGAGAACAACAATAAAGCCAATAGCTACTTTCATTTCTGAAAGTAGCTATTACATAAAAGTGGCAATCTGTAAACTAAAATCATGAAATGGCTTTTATAGATGAGGTTATCAGGTAGGAAGTCTTATTACTTGCATCAAAGGAAAAAAACACCTCACAAATAATACATATTTGGTAAAAGAAACTGCAGTATAGAGATGTTGCAATTTTGCTATTGAAAAGGCAGAATGCATGTAATTTTTTTCACTTCCCCTTTGAAAAGTCATAACCTTATATGTAAACTATTAAACATCTTTGTTATGACTTTGAAGGTAACATGGTTGAATACAAGAATATTCTGTTTAAATCCAGATCACATAGGTCCAAATATTAGAGTAGTGGTCTGTCAGTTTTTAGGAAGGAAATCTTCCAGAACAGAATCACAAACTACTTCCTATGGACTACATAAGATTAATACTGACTGTTGACTGCTCTCTTAAGGCAAAAAGCTCACATACTTTGGGCAAATAATGTGAACTAGACAAAATCCTTGTGCTCAGCAAATTTAAGAGACTAGAAGATAAACATAAAGTGGGTGGATGAAAACAGATCAGAATTGTATTTGTCTATGTAGTTACCAGGATCTGAATGTGAGTTATGTCATCTAACTAGTTCTCACACACACACACACACACACACACACACACATATATATATGTAGCATTCAAGAGACCACATGAAAAAGGCTAAACATTTAATGTGCTATTACTTCATTTACCCATATGAAGTAATGTTGTTTTTCTTTGTTCCTATCAAATTAATTGTTCTGGCAACTTTCTTTTCCAGAAACATCAACTATATTATATGCCCTCTGGGATGCACATGAGCGCATACCCTTGAGCACACATGCCTTGGCAGTAGGCAACTCTTACTGAAAAACAACATATAGTAAGCAGTAGTACTACCTAACTCCCACAGGCACATGACTGGAATAGTTTCCACTCTCATTCTCTAAAGAAAAATCAACAAAGGATTTGAGATATGACGCAGCATACATAATCTCATGAGAAAAGAACCTTATTTGCTATTTGACAAAGTCATACATTGAAGACTACTTTTGAAAAAGACTAGTATTCCCATAGAGCAGTGATGGCGAATCTTTTCGGCACAGAGTGCCCAAACCGGAACATGCATGCTGCAGCTCTGGAAACTTGAAGACCAGCTGGCTGGTGCACAAGCGCGTGCCTGCCACCTGGTCTTCACGTGTGCCAGAGCACCGGAAACCTGAAGTCCAGGTGGACAGCAAGTGCATGTGCACCGGCCAGCTGGTCTTTGGGTTTCCAGCACGTACAAAGACCAGCTGGCCTGTATGCATGTGTGCGCCGGAAACCAAAAGAGCAGCTGGCCACGGCGTACGTGCCCACAGAGAGGGCTCTGTGTGCCACTTCTGGCACAAGTGCCATAGGTTCACCATCACAGCCATAGAGAAATAGTACAATGGGAACATTAACAATAGAGGAACAGTTAGCTACTCAAAAGCAGTAATTCTCCAACCATTTTCTGTTTCCTCCACAATTGTTTTTCCTAGGACTGCTTCTTCTCTACGTGATTTAGCTAAGATATAAGATCATGAGTTACTTCTTTATGTCATTGTTTACTGAAGTCATTACACTTTTAATGTTTTAACACAACAATCAATGCAAGATCAAGTGCATCAACAAATAGAAATACACGATAGTGTTTGCAACCTCTGTAAATTATGGCTGTTCACCGCCCTGAGTCCTTCGGGAGTAGGGCGGTATACAAATATGAAAAATAAAATAAATAAATAAATAAATAAATGGTTGACTGTTCAATAAGTTTTGTATTCAGAGGTAAACTCTATTGGAATTACTTTAGAATAGCTAAATAAATAAATCCTGCTTTAGAATTAAAACATCCTGAAACATTGGTTTTAAAAGCAATCGTAATATATCACTAACTGACTTATTTTTAGATTGTTATAAGCAAAGGAACTAAGTCACAGAACTATATTATTACTTGTTTAGTGAGGTAGCTGTTACAGATGCAAAGAACCTATAGCAAAGAATGTGGGTAGAATAATTGTATCAGCTACAATAAACCATTCATTTACATTCTTATTCCCAAAATAATAATTTATTTTTAAAAATTGACTGGATTAGTAAGCATCTATACTTCTACATCTATACTTATTCAAGCACTACATTCTATGTACTTTTCAGTTAGCACCTTGTAACATACAGAATCTAGAAAATATTTTTTAAAAATAAATGATTTCTATGTGATTAAAGATACTTACCCAGAAAAACAAATCCATCTACTTCTTTGTCAGTCACCACTACCTTTTTTGTATCCTGGCTTTTTCTGAATAAACTGAACATCTCTTTGCAATACAAGTCTAAGAATAAAAAGTAAAGAAAGCAAGCAAAAAAGTAAAGAAAGCAAAACAAATTCACATTTCTATAATTATCAAAATAAATTTTGGAAAACATTTCATCTGGAGGGGTAAACTTAAGAGGGACAATGAAATACCGTAATTACCATTAATTAAAAAAAATGACATAGGCTTTGTATGTTGAATCATGAATGGTCAATTCCCAAGCATTAACATTTTGTACAGCAAAACAGAATTCTAGCTCCCTAAATTTAATAAGAGCTGGAGGTACACCTTTATGCTGACTTAAACCTGGATTGTTCTTAAAAAACCAGACTATTGTAGGGAAGAACGGCTGATAGTAAAATATTCAATAATTTTAAAAAAGTTTTTCTCAAAGATACTCAGATGCCCAAACATCAGTAGCAGATTAATAATAATAATTTAGATTAAATTTTATAGTTCAAATACAGGTAGTCCTCAATTTACAATCATTCATTTAGTGGCCATTCGAAGTTACAATGACACTGAAAAAAGTAACTTATGATCATTTTTCATACTTATGACCATTGCAGCATCCCCATAATCATGTGATCAAAATTCAGATGCTTGCAACTGGTTCATATTTATGTTGGCTGCAGTATCCAAAGGTTATGAAAGACCTTTTGTGTCCTTCTGACAAGCAAAGTCAATGGGAAAGCCAGATTCCCTTAATAATGGTGTTACTATTTGTTTTGTTTGTTTGTTTGTTCTTTCATTCAATTTATATAACTGCCCAACTCAACCCAGTATCCTGGACGGCTTACAATTCTAAAATTATAAAACAATTTCAAAAACATTTGAAATGTTTTTCAAATGTTGAATAAAAATCAATTTTTAAAAAATAAATAAATAAATAAATGGATTTTTTTTATTTAAATCAAATTTATTTTAATAAAATGCTTTTGGAGTAAAAATCTATCTAAAGATAGTTTTCTATTTAAGATACATTAATAATTTATTAATAATTATTCAGCATGAAATGGAGCTTAGTTATGTAGCATGAGGCTGTAAATTCTGCAATATTGGGACCGTCAGTGAGTCAACAGCAGGTCAGAGGAGGAACCGCTGCAGGGCAGAGATGACAGTTGCTCTTTAAAAATTATAATTTAAATTGAGTTGATTTAAATCAAGCCTTTTTACTAGTGATTTCAATCATGATTTAATTCGACTTGATTTAAATCAAATCCACCCTGCCACAATATAAATAAATACAAACAGCAGCCATTATAACTAATCAACTAATAGTAACACTAAGTAACAGAGCTTTAACCCATTCTGAGCCTTAGGCCCAGATAAATAGCAAAATTTTAAAAGCTTTGCGAAAAGCCAACAGGATTGGGGTCATTCTAATCTCTGAGGGAAGAATATTCAATAAGGCAGGGGCTACAACAGAAAAGATCATTCTTCTAGTTCCTCCCAGTCAACACTCTGGCTTCAGCATGCCCTATTGGGTTGGATTTACCAGGTAGAAACTCTTGCAAAAAAGACAGTCCTTCAGGTAACCTGGTACTGAGCCATATAGGACTGTAAAGGTGAAACCAGCACTTTGAATTGCACCAATAAACACTCTGGTAGCCAATGCAGTTCATGGAGTACTAAATTATAGTTACATGTGGTGTGTAACTGGCACCATATATTATCCATGCAGCAGTATTTTATATTAGTTGAAGTTTCCAAATGGTCTTCAAGGGTAACCCTATGGTAACTGACTATAAAAAAGTTCTTATTTATCTGTCCATAAATATACATACTTTCTTAGTTTTCATTTTATTCACAGAGTTTCATAATTAAGTGAATTATTTTGCCATCTTTATTGCCTCTTCATTTCTCAAACTGCCTCAGTAAACTAAGGAGCTACATGGGATTAGCAGATGGGAAGAGGCCACTTGGAAATGATATGGTTAAACACACATTCTCACCAGCTACTCGAGCAAGTGGGGTTGTGCACACGTGTTCACGCTTGCCCACCACTTCTGCAATCAGGTTATAAACAGCTCAAGTCCTGGTAGTGGACTGCGGCCTAGGGACCCCTGTCCTAAATCACTTCTAATTCCAGGCACAGGAAGTTGAAATTATCCGTAGCAGTTCATATTAGTCCCCAATCATATCTGCAGTAAGATCAAGCACTTTTAGCCAGCCACCATGCAACTAGAAGAATGGTACAATAGTAAGCACTGTCTTTAACCCAATTATTATGAGCAAAGTCTCCCATTTGGTCACCTACAAAACAGGACTTCTCACAATATTATTGTCTCCCAGTAAACAATTACTCTTTAATTTCCACTATCATAAAGATAGTTGTTATATTTCCTATTCCACTCAAGCATCCCACTCAAATAGAAGGGGTTAATTATATGTTCCTCTATATCCAACACAACCTCTGCTTATGGTCACAAGTGCTATAGGCTAGCTCCTTCCAAAATAGGTGATAGAATGCATAAAAAACAAACAAACAGTAGCTGTGATAGAAACAAGTCAATACATGCAAGAAAAAAAGCACTTTCCAGGAGCAGAAAGAACGGAATGTTTAAATTCTGGGCTACCAAGCCACAAAATTAAACCAAATTTTGTAGGATTGAATGGACCTATTATAATTGCTAAGGTTTTCCAGTGCCACTGTAAGCTGCAAATGAGACACTGCTTATAGCTATAGCAACAAGTCTGCCCATTGCGAACACAAAAGGACCCAGTTTCACAAATAGCTGTACTCTAATAAGACTGAAGGAACCAGTTTGATGTGTGAGTTAAGGCACAAACTGGAAAGAGATTTCTGGGACAAGTCGCTCTTTCTCAGTCCTAGCAAGAAGGCAATAGCAAAATATTACGTGGCAATGAAAATATTGCCACGTAAACTGCATACACACACACAGAGAGAGGCAGACACATGCACAAACGCACACAACGTCCGAAGAAAGAGGTTTCTAAATCAAGCTTGTGCATGACAGATATTCTCGCTAATCGTGCAAATAAAATCTGTGAGGTTTGCCTCATGAATTCCGAGCCAGCTCATGAGCACACGCGAAACCCTTTGCCCATCAAAATAATTTAAACGTCAAAACCACCAAATTAACGTCTCTTGTTATACATAACAATTGAGGATATCACGCAATTATTGGTCCGGCGAGTTTCATTTTTCCAGCTTCCCCTGTCAGTACAGTGGAATCCAACCGTAGCATTAACCCTATTCTGCTCCATCAAACACCCACCTTTTTCAGACACTTTTCCACAACAATCTTCACTTCCGGTTCACCCAGAATGCATCCTGGAGGTTATTATTTAGGTCTTCGGTGCTCGTTGACACGGGGCGCCTGCGCATTACGCTTTGTGCCTGACGTGCCTCGTTGGCCCGCCTATCACGTGCCTAAGCGGAGGTTGCTGCTCTGGAACATTATTGGAGGTTCGACCTTCCACGTGCCTCGAATAGCTGGTGGCAATACGCTCGCGCTCTGGCACGAGAGCGGAAGTTAAGTTTTTCCCGCCAAGACCAAAAGCCGAGGAGGGAACCTGGATTTCCTTCTGAAATGGCCGATCTATTAGAAGGTCCCCGCGTTCGTGTCAGCGCGAGTCAATTGTCGCAATACATTGGAAAGCCAGTCTGTTTGGTGGGACGCCTTGAAAAGGTAACAGGGCAGGAGATAGTTCTATTGGCTGTTAGTGCGACTAACAGCACTTTTATTTCAAGTAGGGGGAATCATCTATATTTCGTATACTTGTTAATGATGACGTATGAAATATTTACTATGAGGTAGGCATTTATCTTTGTTAAACTTGTATGTACATTGAGGTATTCCTATTTAGAGCTGTCTTGCTTTAGTGATCAAGGATTGTAATTTTGAAGGTGTTACAGTGGCGCTTTAAAGTAATGGGATAGGGATAGGATAGGATTCAATTCTTTATTGGCCAAGTGTGATTGGACACACAAGGAATTTGTCTTTGGTTTTTACGCTCTCAGTGTACATAAAAGAAAAGATACATTCGTCAAGAATCATAAGGTACAACACTTAATTAGTGACATGTCATTTTTTTTTTAACATTTAGATTTTTGGGGCTTCTCTTCTTCCCTATGTTATTTAAGGGGCCTATATTATTTACTGAGTTGAAGAAAATCACCAGTGGGTCATGTAGTGCATCATTTGAAAACAACTTATTTTGATGTCTTCAGCTAAGAATAACAAAGAAGTACAAATAGAGCCTAGTAGTGAATAAAGAGAGACATTATTTTTCTATGCCTGTATGCTCTTGGATTTTGAATGTTTGATTATACTTCTTTCTCTTTTGTTGCTTTCAACAGTTTAACATCGATATGATAGTCATGCTCTTAACCTGAAGTCAGTGACTCAGTAATCTGTTTCGCGGTGGGCTTCTAAATCAGCGGTCGCCAACCGGTGGTCCTCGAGAAAATTTTGGTGGTCCGCAGAAAAATTATTTACATTTTTTATGTTGCACTAAATACTATTTGTCTTTTTAAAAAATTTATATTAGTGGTCCACAGTTTTTAAAATTTTGAATTTAGTGGTCCCTGAGGTTTGAAAGGTTGGTGACCCGTTTTAAATGATCCAGAAGCTCCAATTGACACAGAATGAAGCTGCTTGTCTGCTGCTACTAAATGGTTTAACATTGGAACACTTTTGCTGTGAGCACTGCACTGATTGCTGGTTAGCATCCAGGCCCAGCTCAACATGCAGATTATAATCCCTAACAGCCATTATGTCTCAAATCCTCATTACATATGGGATTGTATTCTTCAGATACAATCTGCCAAACCAGTAGATTGGATGGGATACTGAAAAATTGGGAGGAGATGGTAGCAGGAAAATGGCTTTCTTGTAGTTACCCCTCACTCTGAGGTCAGTTAGCTCTCTTTCTGCTAACATTCAAGAAGGCAATTAAAACAGCACGGTCTTTGGGGAAGAAAGTTACCACCTTTAGAGCGCTCCATGGCTTAGGACCAGGGTACTTACGAGACCGCCTTCTGCCACCAATAGCCTCTCACCGCCCAGTACGCTCCCATAGAGAGGGGCTTCTCAGGGTGCCGTCAGCCAAACAATGTCGACTGGCGACCCCCAGGGGGAGAGCCTTTTCTGTGAGGGCACCCACCATCTGGAACGAGCTCCCCCCAGAGATACAGAAGATTCCGGATCTGCGCACTTTCCGCCGTGCCCTCAAAACATTCCTGTTTCAGCAGGCCGGCCTGGCTAACTTTCCCTTTATATTGCTTTTTGATTTTATTTTAAACTGGGATGTCTTGAATTATCTAGGACCAGAATGTTTAGTATATTTTAATTGGTTTTTTATTATTAACGTTTGTATTACATGTATTTTTATCGTTCGCTGTTCACCGCCCTGAGTCCCTTAGGAATAGGGCGGTATATAAATTTAATAAATAAATAAATAAATAAATAAATAAATAAATAAATAAATAATATATAATTTAGATAGATATTAATTGTGGACTAGTATGTTTCTTTTAAAACAACTTTTAGATTGTTAGACTATCTGAATAGGTGACATACAAATATTTGAAAAGAATAAATCTTATTCATGATGCTGCCAGCAGATAATCACATGAACTGGATAAAAAATAATCAATTTAGCCTAGTGCCTGATATCCCATTTCTTTGCACAAGAATACTAAAAAGAGTTGTAGATATAACTTGCCCTTTTACAGTAAGTTGCTAAGGAAACATTAATAGGTATGGCTAGGCTTCTGCTGGTACTCAATGTTGAAAAGAGTTTGTTTTTGGCCATTTTTTTCAGCCTTTTTCTTAGAGAACTGAAATGAAGTATCACTTCATTTAGGATTAGATGTCCCCAACACAACTAAATGCAGTTAGTTTAATCTGTTTAATCTGAATCTGTTTAGATTGTAGGAGTTAATTGACTGGATCATTTGTCTTATTTTTTGATATTCATACATTCACACTAAATTCCCCCTACTCTAGTTGAGCATGTACACAATAACAGAATCTCAGGCTAACTTTAATAAGTTAGATGAACTATAATAGGCTAGATAAGATATATAGTAGTAATAGTTTGTTTTTTTTTAAAGCTGGAAGTTATTTCTAAAATGCTGTTATGAATACATTTGTTTATTGATAAAATATGAATTTGCAGTAATTCTGTGATAATTTTTATAATGGTAGAATAAGCAAAGTTTATTTGAGCAGAGTGCTTTCAATTATTACAAATAGATCGTAATTCAATATCAACCTTGAAATCAAAACAAGCCTGGTAACATTTCTTCTGATTAATAGATTTATTAAGAGGCACAAGCCTTTTCATTTCACTAATGCACTCTGTGCATGTGGTGAAGTGAGCTGCAGTTCAAGAAAGTTTGTCTTTTAACAAAATTTGTTAGTTGGAAAGGTGCTACCAACTTTTCCTCTTGGGGCTGATGGATAAGCAGTTAGAAAAAGTCATGTTTCTATGATACCTGTAGCAAGATTATTGTACGCACAAAGATTTGGCATTTTTCCATTTGGCATTACAATAGAGGTATGGTTGGTAAAGATGACTGAACTAACTGAAATAGCCAAACATATATGCATGCACATACAACATAAATACCCATAGTGTTAAACAGAACATGAAAACTAATACAAATAAATATAAAGAACATACACACATATAACAAAATGAAATGTCCAAACAAACTTTAAAAGTTAGAGAAAAGACAAAGCTACATTTATTGGGGTCTAGATATCTCTTAGGGACTTTTTGTATAAAAAGACAAATAACTTATGATACATGGTTTTGTAGGACAAGGCGTGGCAAAACCTGAGGGTGGAGTCAAAAGAAGAATCAGCCTAGAATCTGCATAGCTACTAAATGGGCTAAGTCCAACCCTCTTGAATTCTGTTGACCTTTAGCGCCAAAATAATAGTAAGCTTATTTAAGTAGATTCCTATTCACAGGCATGAGTGGTAATAAATTAATTAATTGGAAGTTCACATGTGATCCTGGTCTTTTGTCCCAGCAGGTTTCATCATTATGATGAGTTTTAGAGAAGTTACATTATAATTGTACTTATAACTGTTGTAAAGAAGATTGGAAGCTATTTTTGTACCTCTATTTTTTTCTTTCATTTTATTCCTTTTTCTCCTTTTTCTCTTTTTTAGTTCGTGTTAATCTTATTCTTGTGTTTAATCATTTTCAGTAAAATTATACATACAGATAGTCCTCAACTTTATGACCAGTAGCTACTTTTCAAAGTTCCATTAGATCTACCTGAGAACTACTTACGACCTAGATTCAAAATTCTGACAGCCCTTCCTACCAGTCACCAGATTGCATTTCTGACACTCAGTAAAGGGTTGCATTTATGGCTGTTTGCAGTGTCCTATGGTCCTTTGACTGCACTTTACAACAGTTTTGCTGAAAACCAGCATTTACTTTCTGTTTGGGGCAAAACCACCTACAACAAAGCATTATTTGCTTAACAACCACAATAATTCACTTAGTAACTGCCACAAATAAAGTCCATGACCAAACACTTCACAACCATTATGTTATTCATTATGACATTATGTCATTAAGTTATGGCCAAAATGGTCTGGCTCTATTACTGTAACTCGAGGACTACCTGTATATAAAAAGGAAAGATGCTACTAGATTCTTGATTCTAACACCTATAGTGTGAATCTCACTTTTTCTTTGTGTGGATCTTTGTCTCCTTATTAAAACATTGCTATGAATTATTATTTGGTAGATCCATCCATCTGGGAAATTATTCTTTCTATCTGATGGAGAAGGAAAAAATGCAACAATTGAGCTAAATACACCTGTAAGTATGAATATACATTAAAGAGCCTTGTAATTTATTACAATTTACCATTTTTATTGGCTTGGGAAGTTTTAATTTGAATCTATATCATGTTGTAATACACCAATGTCATCTTATTAAAAGGTTATCCTGAAACAAACTCATCCTAATGTTGCTGTAGCATCAACAAGGATCTCCTTAAAACATGTCTTGATGTCTGTTTCCTTTTATCTTTGTGTCCCAAAGATAGTGTCTCCTAGCACTATCATTTCTTCTCATATGATTTTGAGGATGCTATATGCCTT